AGCAGATACTGCCTGCAGTTGGACTTCAATATATATCAACATGTCAACTCTGGGGAAAGATTTAGGAAATGGATATCAGTGTATAGTACAAAGATACTTCAGTGGCTTCTGCCTTTTACAATTAACCATCAACAGTAAAGGAATGAGCAGTCAAGAAAAATGCCACAGACTTGTTAAAACAGTCATGAAAGCTCTGGAAAAGTTATTCAGATGCTGTGATATCTTCTATACTGACAAAAAGCACAGTGCAAGCCATGGTATTTCCTCTGACACCCCATGGAAATGAAAATTGAAGAAGTAGAATAGGAAAAGTATTGACGCTTTTAAACTTTGGTGCTAGAGAAGATTCTTGAGAATGCTGTGGACAGCCACAAAACAAACCAATGGATCATTGAATAAGTCAACTCAAATTCTCACTTGATGCATAAACGATCAAGTTCCAATTATCCTACTTCAGACACATTATGTGATCTAGTTTTCTGGAGAATGCTCTAGGAGGTGAAAGGAAAGAAACGAGGACGACCAGCAGCGTGGTGGATGGACTTATTTAGAGTGAAGGTTGACACAGTATTGAAAGACATTGAAGATCAGGCTAGGAACAAACCATCATGCAGAAAAATCTGTGTGGTTGCTAAGAATTGACGCTGACTTGATGGTACTGTAGGAAGTTAGCACCCACCCTTTTCCTAGAAGAATGAAATATTTTAGGAAATATTAAAAAGGCAGAATATTATATTTCCCTGGATGAAAAATGGAGAAACATGTTTTAAAGACAAAACAGCTTCCTGCAGCTTCCTGCCTCCCCCCACCTTTGTCAATGGGCTAGAGGCAGAAAATCATCCCCCCCACCTTTGTTAATGGGCCATCATCTGCAACACAAAGGACCCATCCCACAAAAGAAACTCACCACATGTCAAGGCTCAAGCAAGCTTGAGAGACATCCTACCAGATTGGCTAAGACCCCTGCCCCCTGGGAGTTTGACAACCAATCAGGATACATTTCTTATACAGGAATAGGAAACACTAAGGTGGGGCCCAACAGAGGGTATAAACTCTCAGCATCTTGGCCCTTCTTTCTTTGGTTTTTCACCCAACACTTTGAAGCATGTGATTGCCTTTTCTGTTCAGGAACTCAAGCAATATGATCCTGTCCACCATTAAACCATCTTTCCAAACAGTCACCATGTTTCCAGTGTCTTTTTCCCCACTTGGAACTGAACCCAGAAGGACATTTCTTCCAACAGTACCTAATCAATTAAAACAAAAAGGGTAAATGTTTTGTAATTCAGAAAAGCTTAGTTTCTACCTCTAGTCCTTTCTTACTCCTGATAGGCTTCCACGATTCTGATAAGCAGAAAGCCAAAAACTGAATGGGAGTTAGTAGAAAAATGGGAATACTTGGCTCTTGGACCCTTTTCTATCCCAGCTGCTTCACCTGACATGTTTGCCATTTAATACGGAGGATCCCGGATCTGCGTACTTTCCGTCGCGCGCTCAAGACTTTCTTATTTCATCAAGCTGGCCTGACCTAAGTCTTTCCCCTTTTTAAATGGAAATTTTAAATTTGGTTTTAAATTATTGGGGTTTTAAATTTGTTCAGCCAAATTATTTAATTCATTTTATTTTATTTTAAATTTTGTATTTATATGTTTTATTCTATGGCTGTTCACCTCCCTGAGTCCTTCAGGAGTAGGGCGGTATATAAATTCAATAAAATAAATAAATAAATAAATAAAAATATTAATCTGTTGCTTCTCCTGTAGAACATCCCAGGGAGAACGATCCTCCCAATATGTTTATACAGACTGCAGTTTGCTATCTTAAGTAGATGTGGGCCTGAGCACTATGATATCGAATGCAAATAACATCTCAAAATCTAGTTTCGAGTCAAATGTCCTAAACCGAGTTAATACATTACTTGAGGCTTTATAGCAAAATCCTCACTGCTCCCAAAATGATTCCATTACTTGAAATATTTTTCTTTCCTGGAATCATATATCAGGTACAGTTAGTTTTCCAGTAATTACAGCTAAATGTAACCCAGTCAGTTCTGGGTTGCTTGTGTGTGCTCTCTTCCCCATGACTGTTTTGTGATATTGCCAAGAATTGTCTAAGGCTGTTTGTTTGGGTTTTTTCCCTACATGCAATTATGTCTGGACTCAAAGCTGGAAGGTTTTGCAGACATCATTTGTACTTCCCAGGACTTGGCTTAAACACAATCTTGAATTTAATAACCAGCTCCAGAACAGAAGCAGATACTCCATAAATCATCTTAATAGACAAACAGAATATTATAACCCGTTTATTTTTAGCCTAACTTTCTCACAGATGAGAAACTTTTGAATGTGTGCATATTATTGTTGCATCTGTGTATGAACATACTGTATGTACCTTGTCACAAATAAATTCATTTAATCTTGTTGTCCCACATAAATATGCACATTTTTCTATTTGTAGAAACATTCCTAAGAATGTTCATTTGTGTCCGTGAGGGATTAAGAGGGAGCAACTGCCGAAATGTACATCACAATATCATGATGCAAAGCTTTTTTATTTGCATAATAATGTCAGACAAAAATTCATTATGGGTTAAGCTTGCATTGTCACAATGCATGTGTAGTCATGTTGACGAACTTTGGGCTTGCTTGCTTATTCTCTATATACTTTAAATCTCCAGCCATGCATGAGTAGTTGTTCTGTGATTTATACGGATTGTACTGATTTGGGATTTTTGAAGATTTGTTTTTGGATAGAAGATTAGGCATATTGGTTTGGATCTTTTCAGAGTGATCTTAACATTCTAGTAGAATCTAAAACAAACAAGTCATGATTTTAAAAATTATGGCACATCAGTCATGATTTTCTTTCACAAAGGACATAAGTCATATCAGTGATTTGATGTCATGACACATGTATTTTAATTCTCATTGTTTCTCTGCAGACATTCATGAATGAGTTTCTCCAAAATTTGCCATTTTTCATGTGACAGAACTAGAGAATTACGGAGAATAATTAACTTACTTTCATTATTAAATTAAATTTATCCCAGTCATCTCCACCTTTTTCTCTTGAACATGCATAATTGTGTGACCAATGGCTCAGGCATACTTCTCAAAGTCCAAGTATACCTGTGTGAAAATATAGTTGAAAACTTTTTTGAACTTGAAAAGGGTGCATAGGATTATATGGGTTATGGGCAATTTTTGACAATAAAGAATTTTGGACGTAAAGAATAACAAATTAACTATGTTATAATAATAGCCAGTCACTTAATTTGCCAGTGAATGTTTGTTTAAAAGAGAGAGCTGTGTTATGGGTTCTGGAAAAAGGAAAACAGTTTTAATTGATATAATCCTGAAAGAAAGCAAGAGGATAGGGAGCCCCTACAAGATTGTTCTGGTATTGAGGTAAACCAGAGAGAAGACCAAAATCCAAATATGGTACAAGAGGCCTGTGCAGAACAATTAAGATTTGCTTCATCAAAGATATTTGTACCTCAGTGGCAAAGTAGTTTTCTTCACTGAAAAAAGTATAATGCTTTGATGAAGCAGTTAATGTTGATCTGAAATTTCCTGAGTACTGCTTCCAAAGCCAGGAGAAGATTCTGCACATAAACTATAGTTGGTTAGAAGCTTTCTCAGGTTCTGTGAAGAACACGCTGGACAAAGTAGAGTAATGTTTCCTTCAGGATGGCTTGCCAAAGCTTGGGCAAGATGTATTGGAAGAAGAGAGTGTTGTATTCTCTGAAGCAATGGCAAAAGTTTATTTGTCAAAGCATAGCTAATCAAAATGACAAGGTCATTTTGTTTTCAAGGGAAGGGAGGTGACTTAATTCCTTCAAGAAACAGATTCAATGAAGTGATTTGTTTGAATACTCAAAGAAGCAAAGCTTTGAAAATATGCACTGCTCTATGATGCAACATTTATTGTTACAGGGGAAACAAGCATGTACAGAGAGAGAGGGAGGGAGGAATACAAAGCATGCATTCATGCATGACTGACACTCATCAATCATTGTAATGCTTGCATCTATCATTGTATTGCCTGCATCTGCTACTTGGTGGGTTGCAAAAAAACATTTAGATACCCTTTACATTACAAGAAAATGGTGCAAAACATCATTCTTTGCACATATCAGTAGTTTTCAGTATGGGCCATAAGTTCCCCCCAGCCTGTTATATTTTTAGAAGTCACAGAAATAAATGAGGCTTAGAAGGTGACTATGAGGGAAAACACGGTTTAGAACCTCTGATATAGATGACCCAAAGTGTGGGTGAGATGGCAGAGAAGAGGAGTTGATGTACAAATTGTCCCATGGTTGCAAAAAGAGTCATCTTCTCTTTTGGATTATTTGTTTATTTCTCATTTTTATTTATTTTTCACATTTGAGAAGAATTTCTGTTTATATTGACTGCAAGGCTGAGAAAATGTTATATTTTGTCTTCACTGGTGGCTTGGATTGTTTGCCCAACCTATTAAAAATGTTGTCATTTTCATCCACCACATTCTAAGATCGTTTCTGGTTTAATGCCCTTATCCACTCTTGTTAACTTTCCCTTTGTATAGCTGGGTCTGCCGTGACAAGCTTATTCTATGTCTATGCTGGTCATCTGATATCTGATTGGTTACCTTTGTTGTGTACAAGTTAGAGGTCTACAAATTAGTTGTTTGTAAGTTTCTAGAAACCTAGAATTTATCTTGCTGAGCTTTAATGTTCCAGACTGTTACATACAGTACCTTTATTCTGATCTTGTGCTCTATTTGATTTAAAACTTTCACCTTCTTTGCATACTTTCAGCCTTCCCCCAGCCTTATTCTACATTGCTTCAAACTATTTCAGTCTTTTCATAGAGTTGTAAAATATGATTAGGCTATCAAGTTCAACTCTTGGATCATTTCATGGACTAAACTAGCTGTCCACAGGTTGTGCCTTTGTCTGAGTCGCTATTGTATGCAAAGATGGGCCACCATTCACAACCATCTTTCTCTTTGTGTTACAGAAAATGCCAGTGAGGAAAATTCCCTGCAAAGCCAATGCTCCATCTGGATCTTTTTTTGCACGGGACAATACAGCAAATTTCCTATCTTGGTGCAGAGATGTGGGAGTGGATGATACTTGTCTCTTTGAATCTGAAGGGTTGGGTATGTATCAGCCAGTAACATGAGGCACTTTTTAGTATATTGCACTGTATACCACATATGTTTTTAATGATTTTCATGGAATATAATCAGTCTATCATGAGGTCATGTTCTGTTTCAAAAAGTAATTATATCAATGATGTCATTATTTCTCCTCCATATTTTTTGCAAAGCTCAAGAATTTATAGTTTCTTTACTTTTGGAATAATGTGCATTATTTTAAGTGTATAATAATAATTCAGAGTTTTGAAGAAAATAAAGACATTTCAATAAACAGGTTAAAAAAACTTGATTCATCTCTGATGTGTTTTAAATTGTAATCCGAATAAGTCTTCCACACAATTTTGATGCCCCTAGCTTCACAACTGATATTTTTAATTTTGACAAGTACACTTGCTCAATAGACTAGTATTCTCTGCGACTGGCTACTTGGAGATTACAGAAAATTAAAATTCTGCTGTAACCTCTGTCATTGTCCCACAGATATTCCAGAGGATGGGAATGGGTGGCAAGGCATGATGGTATCATGAATGATCAAACATTAAGGATAAAGATGAAATTAGCACCACTGGATAATACTTGCTAGCACTGTTTTTCTTTTATGAGATTATATGGGAATGTACTAAGCTTTGAGAACATACTAAACTGTTTAGTACATTCCCATATAATCTCATAAAAGAAAAACAGTGCTGCTAAACTGTTTTAAAGAATTGCAGATAATTGCTTAATGTCATGATTCCAGATATGTTGAAGTTCCTTTTTGCCTTCCAATAGAAAATACACACACCTCATACCTTTAATTCCTGAATTAAGAAATTCACAATTTTCATAGTTAATAGCTACCTGAAATATACTTTATGAAAAATTGATCCATACTGTATTGATTTTTTTTTCCCAAATACAGTCTAGGTGTGTTTGATTATTGAGGAGGGAGATGCAAATCAGACCTAATATGTCAATACCATGTTGCTCTGCTTTTCAGATCAAATTACTATTAATCTACATGAAAAGTCAAAGTTGGCTAATGTTGAAAAGTTAAGCAGTGTTGGACCTGGGTAGTTACTGGATAGCAGACCATAAGGATATTCCAGGACTTGTGTTACTCTAGGAATTTTTTTTAAATAAAAACATTCTGGAAGAAAATGATAAATCACATCTATAATTTTGCTAAAAAAAATATCTACATGGATTGTGTACAATATCCTCAGGGCATGGGGAAATTTCCTTTTTTAAAGTCACTTTTTCAATAGATGTAAAACTGGCTTGTTGATTTGTATACATAAACCTTTAAATCACTATATTAGTATAAAGGATTGAATCAAGTCATCTGTTCATTGGTTCAAAAATAACATGTAAAAATCCAATTCTTTTTACATCTCCAGGTGATAGAAATGGATGTTGCTTGTGTCCTTGAATTCATATCTAGAATTCAACTGAACATGTGATTTTAAAAATGGCATATAACCATAACCATTTTAAAATAACAGGATGGAAATACTCTTGCCTTACATTGATTTACCACTAGCAACTTCATTCAGAGAAAAAAAAGGAATCAAATGACAATATCTTGTGCCTTATCTTGTATCAGATTTGTACCACAAAGGCACTGGTTCAGGTGAAACTCTCATCTTTGTAGTGTTTTGTGCTCCTTTTCATTCTTACAACAGATCTCTTTTGATACAAAATTTAGGACAACTTTTATGTCTCAGGATTGCATTTCAGCAGAAGATGAAAAGAACCAAATGATTGTTTGGAGATGAAATTCAGCTGTTGTGATGGAAGATGAGCCTAGTGAATCAACTGGGCTATCATCATTCCACCGCTCAAAAGGTTTTTGAATATATGTAACTCATATCTGAGTCGCAATTGATTTGTTTGTCTTTTGTATTGAATTTCCTTTTCTTACATTTTTGTATGTGAGAACATTGTGTTCCTTGCTGTCATCATTACTCATGTTGATTACATAATATATATCTATTGATAGCTGTAGTTCTGTTAAATTGTTTTTAAACACACCGATATGCTAATAAAATTGCAAATTTTGCCCTATTGCTTCATAAGAAAAAACCATGTAAACTCACAGAAGGGATGTGGTGGCTCAGTGGCTAAGATGCTGAGCTTGTCGTTTGAAAGGTCGGCAGTTCAGCGGTTCGAATCCCTAGTGCCGCGTAACGGTGTGACCTCCCATTACTTGTCCCAGCTTCTGCCAACCTAGTAGTTCGAAAGCATGTGAAAAATACAAGTAGAAAAATAGGGAAGGTAACAGCGTTCCATGCACCTTTGGCATTTAGTCATGTCGGCCACATGACCACGGAGATGTCTTCAGACAGCGGTGGCTCTTGGGCTTTGAAACGGAGATGAGCATCGCCCCCTAGAATCGGGAACGACTAGCACATATGTGCGAGAGGAACCTTTACTTTTACCTTAAACTCATAGAATGATAATTTAGGTTTATAAAAGAATAAGCCTTCCTTCAAAACAATTTTTTGGGGTAGTTTAGAACATTGGCAAATCATGTTAAATTCTTATAAAGAGTTGAATCTGAAGTTAGAAATAATAAAATCATCAATCTTTAGATTGAACCACAGTATTACAAAGCAGATACATTTTTGAGGTTCCCAGAAAGCTTCATTAGCAAGATGAAGAATTCAATAGAGTTATTTTCACTACTTTCATTAGAAGCTTCAAATATCTCTTCAGGAGATTGTGTAGTTAGTTTTAATTTATTGTATCCACTTAATTTTAATTTTTAAAAAACCTGTAAGAAGAACCTACCTGGATCACATGAAAAAACCTATCCTGTCTAATATCTTGTTTCCCGTAATAGCTAATTAATTGCTTCTTCTGACCATTCTAAATACTGAATTTTGTTAGTTTTGATTGCAAATAGTTGCCATGACTAGTACCTATGTAACTAACATCAGATAATCCACTATTTAAAATATTCAGAAGGTTAACAGACATGATTTTTCAAGTAGTTACTGAAAATACTTTCTTAAAAGTGGTCTTAATTTCACTTCTGCTAATGACTGGTTTTCTACTCTACTGCAACCATCTAGAAGTGGCAGAGCTATGAATAATTACACAAATAAATAAATATCTATGGAGAGTCATAGTGATCATGGTTGTCCCAAAGGTGCTTTTTTAAGAGGCAACTGGACTTTCTGGTTTTTTTCTTTGAAGACGTTTCACTTCTCATCCAAGAACCTTCTTCAGCTTATGAAGAGCTGCAGAAGCTTCTTGGATGAGAAGCAAAACATCTTCAAAGAAAAAAACCAGAAAGTCCAGTTGCCTCTTGAAAAAGCACCTTTGGGAAAATAAATAAATATATTAACCAGGCCATGATAATGTTGTATAAACATTTTAATGACTTTACAGAATCCCCTTCCTCTCATCCTTCATTTTAGCACACCATCTTTCAATATGAGTTTAGAGAAGTATCAACAGGCTATGCATTATAATAGTCCAAAGTAGTTTATTTTATTGCTTGCTTTCCATCAGTTTCTGGGATTACAGTACAAGAAAAACTAAGCCTACAGATTACTCAGTGACTAGGGCTGGCATGCAAATCCCTGTACCAGCAACTTCAGAAGATAGGTACAAGAATTGGTCACAGATGGTATACCCAGACAACTATAGTAAAACCTTTTTAAAAATATCAACAAACCTATTGTAGAACCATTCTAGGAGAACCATTTCTCCTGATTGTTTTGAGAAAAGAAGCTGTTTGGGAGTGAACATCTGTTCTTTCAGTTATATATCAGCTCAGTCATCTCTGCAGGAAGGATAACATTTAATTCCTTAGATATTTTCTAGGAAGACTGTTACCAAAAAATAACATAAAATAGCCAATAGTGTTCAGAATATATTGTCAAAATGGCATTAAGTATATACAGTATCTATTTCTCTTCCATGGGGATATGGGAGAGATTGGATAATGAAAACTATAAAACTGTTATTGAAATTAGTGATGGCTGAAACTGAGCACTTTTTTGCATAGTAAATCAATACGTAAACACTTATTTTGTGTACTAAAAATGCAAAGTCAAAAGGCTCTTCATTTAAAAGTTAGAGATCTTAATGGCTGTTCTTCAACAGCTGCTAGCAGATAACAGTGGCATACAGCTTTAAAAAATCTTACATAAGCTCTTTTCAAGCAATTATTTATATAAATATATAGAGCTTATACATAGGTGGAAAATGGAGATGTAAGTACATTTCTTCCCTTTATTCTTCCTGAATTCCATACCTTCAGCTGGGTTTCTGAAAGGGAAATGAGCTCACATCGCTTTAGTGTGAGTATCTCTCTCCATAGAGTTCAGCTCCTTAATAAAACAGGGTACCACATTATCAGGAGAATGTATGCATCTTCAAGCAAGTAGGAATTACTATTTCTTTTCTGAATGCCAGCTAAATCACTGTGCACCTTTCACCACGCCCTGAAGACCCTCTTGTTTCAAAAAGCCGGGCTGGCCTAACATGAATATGAATTTTAATGGGTGTATGTAAGTTTTTTAATTTGTGGGCCAAATTTTTGTATATTTGATTTTAATGGTTTTTAAATTTTTGTAAATTTTATGTTTTTTAATATGGCTGTACACCGCCCTGAGTCCTTCGGGAGAAGTCTAATAAAAGTAAAAAGTAAAGTAAAGTAAATCTGTGGAAGTCTGTGGAAGTCAGGGAAGAAAAGGTGGGGCCAATCTGCATATCCCATTCTATAGCCAAATTGAAGTCCTCCACATTCCTGAACACTGTGATCAACTTCTGAAGTTCCTAAGATGGAACATCAGTTGGATATGCAGAAGAAAATAGCTTTGCCCTTTTTATAATTTATTAGTAAAATGCAGTTATGATGTCATCATAACTTTTACGAAATCCCATTTAACACAACAGCCCAGTTCTACCGTCTTTCTTATCCCACCTCACTTATTTCCTGCACGTGGCGAATACTATAACAGCAATCACGGTTGCTACAAGCATAATTCTTATGATACAGCATTAGA